TAAGGAAATCAAACTATTTCTTTTTTTTTTTTTTATTTGTGAGTATCTAAATCAGCTTACGCACATTTCAACTAATCTCAAGCAACAACCGCCGACCTTACAACATTTGATGCTCAGAAACACATACGAATTACTAATTCTCAAGATATATAGGTGGCCATCATGAGATTTGAACTCATTCCTTAAAATCAAACTATTCCTTGTTAGACAACAGTGTTAACGTTGCAATTTATCTAAACTAAAATAAAAAAAAAAATTTAAAGGCATAAATTGAATGTTTTGGAAGTTTAACCATGAATTCTTAAAATGAAATATGAAGAAGTGTTGGAGAATTTGAAATAAGGAACTTTACCTTTTATTGTATAGCTTGGAGAAGTGAGAGGGCATATAAAGAACAGTTGAAGGTACGTGATTTTAGGGACTACAGCGCTGGAGTTAGTTTGAGGTTTTGGTTGCTACAATTTAAAAGTTTATATCCTATTYAACAAAATTTCAAACATTTCATTATAAAATAGTTCGAACTATACAACGGTTTAACTTGTAATAGAGTAAATAATCGAGATGAGTCTTTTTAGACTTATTTAAAATGCTTGTCGCACGTACATGTGCACACRTGGAGTTCACTCTGTTAGTTCATGATGGAAATATTAATCATCTTGCCTCATCGCTTGATTATATATCATGAGACCAGAGTTCCATTACACATCCACATCTACCAAATTCTATTAACGTTTATGTTAACTCACTTTTCTTCGAAAGCCTATTATTCTAGAGTTTCATTACGCCACCCAAGCATTGTTGTTGAGATTCACTCATTGTGATACTCAAACATGGGCATTAAAAATGTGTCGTGAGGTAATTCATATTTAGGCACACGCTTGAGACTTAGAATGAAGGTTATTGACGATGTCTCAAAGTAAATTGGTGAGGGAGTTGCTTGGGTTAAAATATTATTTTGTTCTATGTACTTTCGATTTTGATTCATTTTGCTCTTTCTACTTTCAAAATGTCTATTTTAGTACCTCTACTATCGACTTTTGATTCATTTTAGTTATAATACTTTCAAAATGTTAATTCTAGTCTCCCTACTTTTAAAAAGTTACTATTTTGGTCTCTGTCTGTAAAATTTTAACACAAATTTTGTACGTGAAGAAAACCGTTTGATATAAAATTCTGATTAATTACATTCCTAAGAAATATGTTTTGAATACTATTGTGCCACCATGTTTAAATTGTGATAATGAAACTGAGACAAAAATATCACTTTTTAAAAACTACGTGGATCAAGATGGAAGTTAAATGAACCAAAATTAAAAATAGACATCAAAATATTATTATAATCAATATAAAAGTCCTTTCATGTACTCGTGGTGTATATCTCCAAATCCACATTTGCTCTTTTAATAAATTCAAAAGTATTTATTTTAGTACTCTAATTAAAATCATATAAACAACAACCTTAATTTTAAAGTAATCCTTATCATCATGCTCAATCACCTTTAGCCCTTAGGTGTTAAATGATCAAAAATAGAAAAAAAAAAAGAAAAAAAAAATAGATTAATGTAGAGAATATGAAAGAATCCAAGTTGTGCATGTGAACTTTGGTAATAACACGTGGTGTAAGCAGACAAAAGGAATGTGAAAACCCCCCTTTGTAAGTAATCTTTATTATAAAAATAAAATAATTGCATTAAGATATCAATATATTTTTTTATTTTTATCTTTTCTTCTAAACTATAAAGTATAAACTAAATAACTCATCCACGTCTCTCTCATAAAAATCAAAATCAATTCGCCACACCAAACCAAATTCCTCAATCTTCATATCCTACATCCTACATATCCTGCCACGTGGACTACACGTGGTCATATACTTTCAAAGTAACATGCACCCATCATCCACCCTCTCCTCTCTCTAAAATCATTAATGTGCTGACGTGTACCTATATTTGATCCCCCAAAAACTATATTCTATATTTAGTAAATAATTGGCTAAAATAATGTTGGACATAAAGTATAGCATTTGTACTATACAATAAAGTGCTAATTGCATGTACATTATATTTAATCATGCATAAACCTCGTCATTTTCTTTTTCCAAACCAAACAAATGGGGACATCATCGTCTTTTTTCTTCTTCTTATAGAAATGGATCCTAATCTTTTGATTTTGAGTGATGATTGGAAAGATAAGAATATAGTTAAACACTGAAAGCACAATCTCCCGTTCTTTCCACACTTGTTGAACAAATATTATTGATTTTTAGTTATAATATAAATGGGAGAACTTTTTTTAGAGGAAATTTGTTTTAGTATTTAACTAGACCAAATTATATCTCTCTAGGAAAAAAAAAACTTTGAATTACACCTTAATTTTTTAAATTTTAAAGTGGTAATAAAAATATTGTCCTAGTTTTAGAATGGTGTTAAGATGTTATATTGGGACTAGATTAGAGTTTTATTTATTGATTGGAATATTAGATAAAATTTTAACTTAGCTCCGAAAAAATTATTTGCTCAAAATTTCAATGGATTAAATTAAAAACTTCAACATTATAATTGACTACACAAATTTTATCTAATCAATAAAGTTTTTTCTTTACCTCATCTGTCAAACCTATAAAAGAGAATGTTAGAGGGAAAGAAACATGGCTAGGAATGTCCAACTTTTTTTTATCACTTACATTATAATTTTTTCTCCAAACATTTTATTTTTATTCATTCGTGATTTCTAACTTTGAAAAATTAGATACTTTAAAAACATAGGTTATGTTTATATATTTTTATTCTTGAGAATCACACAAAATATTGATACTGATATTTATTTATACTTATTTAAAAAATTATTAACATGCACATATTCGGACTAAAGTTAGAATCTATTTCTTCAATTTTCTTTCTGTTTTTTCAATTATTCATTGATTATCAAGCCAATTTATGGTGATTGGTTTCAACGTTAAATATATCTCATTTAAAACTAAACCAACTCCCTCCAATTCAAAAATTTTCAAATTGGCCTTTAAATTCTAACAAAGCTGCAATGTTTGTACATTTGACATTTGCTAGACATCAATTCATAAGAAAACAATAATTTTTAAACACAATATTATATTGTGGGTCTTTTTTTTAATGAGAGAACAATTTTGAGTCCTTTAAAACATGAATAATTAAATAGAAAATTATTAGAAAAAAGATAATAAAAACAAAATTTGTAATTCGTAAGTGTTTTTTTAACAATTAAATATAGTAGAATTATACCGTTGTTCCGTGAAATTAATCAAAGATGTGTGCTAACTGATCCGACCATTTATTAAAATTTTTGTTTTTTTGATTCGTTGTAGTTAGAAGTGATTGTTGTTATGTTAGAGTTAGGGGATTAGGGCAGAGGGTGGGTGGGGTAATTAGTAATTAGGGTCATATGGACGCGTGCGACAAGAAGGAGCAATAATAAATTTGGAATTAATAATAAAATTAGCAACTTTTGACCTTTGACTGGAGGCACGTGCGTTGCATCTTTTAAATTTCAAATTTATCTCGAAGGATTCGGTGACGCACGTGCACTCCTTCCCACTTCCGCCTCCCCTCTGACACACTTCATTTTAATATCTGTCTTAAAATCTTCAAAACTTTGCCTTTCCCTTCTCTCTCTCTCTGCCATTTTTTTTTTCTTTTTTTCTTTTCAATAATATTATAACATAACTAATTGTTTGTATTTATTTATTTATATAACCAAATGCATTGACGTGGTACCAAGGGCTTTATAATATTGTTTCTCACTTCGTATTTATCTAACTTTTTTTAAAATTTTTTCTTTTATTTTTAACTGCTATTTTAAAGCCTCGAATCATTTTGTTTTATTCTTCAAAATGTGTATTTTAATATCTGTATTGTATTTTGAAATGTAACAATAAATTTATATTAAAGACTTTTTAGTTGGGTATAAAATTTGTGTTCAAATTTAAAAAATAGAAACTAAATTCGTTATTTTTTAAATTACAAAGATTAAAATGAAGGGAAAAAACTAGTCTTTGAACTTTTTTATTTTAATAATTCAGGTTGAAAAACTTAAGTCGTAAATTTGAAGAATTGTTTGAAAATTCTTTTTTTTAGTAGAAAATACGAAGGATAAAGTTTGAACACACAACTTTTTGAACGAAAATACATGCTTCAACTAGTTGAGTTAGATTAATATTGACTTTAAAATAATAGAATATATCTTAAATATTAAAAATTATTGTTTCTATTCATTTGCTCCTATATTAAGTCACTATTATAATATATTCCGAACAAATGCGAACTTGACAGCCGAAACTGAAGACAAAATATTTTGTCTCTTTCATTTTAGTTAAACTAATCTAGAGAAAAGACTATATAATAAAATGTTAAGTTTAATAAATATATTTCATTATTTTTTATATTCATATATTAGACATAGTACTTGGTCATAACTCATAATAAACAAGGCTCAAGCTTGATCTATGTTTGGGCTTTAGGCCCATACCAATTTAGAAATGGGCCTAAGAAATCAATAATATGAAGATATTGAGAATGAAACTGTTTGTCCTCTGGTCTTAGTGGGTCATATTAAACATGATATTTTACCAATGTCAATTTTTTCTAAATATTTACTAATCTAGGTTTTTTAGATTTAAATAAGATTTTTTTTGTTTATTTTCAAATTACCCTTAATAACTGTCATTATATTATATTCAGTATTATATTTTAAAATATATTATTTACTAGTGAGAATTGATTGCATTTAATGCAAATATTTACATTAATGATTAAATAATAATATTTTAATAAATAATTAAACAATCAATGCACTTATGTTTTTTGAATTTTGTTTCAGATATGGAGTCAAGTAGTTACTAAAACAGATTCTTTTTCGAAATTTAATTATTTAATCTTTTACTATAAATATTGAATAATTACTGGTAGAAATAGTGAGCCTCTATTAGAATTATATAGAAAATACCAAAATTTTAAAAGAGTTCATGGTATTTCAATCCACATCTTATAAAAATCAACATCTTATAAATTTGAAACCTCGACATTTAATACCTTAATGAGTAATATAATTAATGAAAAGAATGTTTTACCTAATTAAACAACGAACATGGATACACTACACCAAACCAAATTTCTAAATCTTGAAGACCTATAAGAAAAAACTATGTTTGTATACTATATCTATCATCACCACGACGTGTTAAGATTTAAACTAGAAACGCGACCCAAGATATGCCATTTTCATATACATAAACACTTGCACCTGCAAAACAACCGCGAAAACTTTCCCGGGAGAGAGTAGGTTGCGAGCAAAGCGGGATCATTCTTAATGTCTTCGGCATGCGACCATATATACATTCCGCGCTCCTGCCGACTACCTGGAACCGTGTTTTCGAGTACGATCGCTATGAAGAATGTCACAACCATGTTCAAGGACATGAGGGCATTGAATACAAAGTCAAACTGCAAGATATATATATCAATATCACAGAGCTGGATCAGTGGAAAAGAAGCAAAAGAACATAGGAACAGAAAAGGAAGTTATTATCTTGACTCACTTGTTTGTTTCCACTATGGGTTGGTCCATTAGATGCTGCAGCATAGGGAACAAAGTAACTAGGCAAAATAAAGCTAGTTTCTGCTTGGAACTGCTGAAAATAGGCAGGGATTGATAAGCCAAAGAACAACGAGACACCAACTATTGTCATGTTCCTGATGCTCGCTGTTTGACCATACTGCAAAGTCGAGAGACCTAACGCGACAATTAGAGCCCATATGAAACAGAGAACGGAAGCAGCCAATGCCAGCGGTATGGAGGCAAGAACAGCACCAACTTTACCTATTAAAAACAAAGAAATTGTTGATGTCCTCTACAAAAACATTTTCTTTTAAAACCATACTCCAAAAGATCCATTATCCATAAACAAATTCTGTATCGTTGGCTGGTCTCTTAACCCCAAATCAGTAAGCATTCATGATAACTGGTAAAAGCTCAAGAACATCTATGATTTTCCTGTGATATGATCATATGATGGACAGTTTACCTAAGAATGAGATAAATATCAAGAAAACTGCTCCGACTTCCAACGCCCTTCGATTTGCCACTTTCGTTACATGAATAGTATGCACATTTTCTGTCAATGTTGTTGACCCAGCACCTGTACCCCAGAGTCCAGCCAAGATGCTGCAGAAACCTTCCAAAGCAATTCCTCTGCTAACAATTCCTGGAGTTGGTGGCTTTGTAGCAACACGCAAAGCCACAGTGTGATAAGTACCGACCTGTACCATGAGTATCCTTTTGGGTCAGATGACTACAACTAACCATTTAATCTTTTATATAGATTCTCTTCTCACATGTGAAATGGGATATAAATTTGATTCATGAAGCTCAACACATGAACTATTAATATTAATCGGAATGAAAATAAGTTAAACTAAGCTTAGCTGGTGTTTATATATATATTCTTAACCGTCACTAGGGATAGATTTCAAGACTTGGGAATCAAAGGCAAGACAACCTCCTTCCTTCAATGGTTGGAGCAACGTGGGCTCAAACTATAATGGCCAACTACCTAAGATTTAATTCCTATGAGTTACCTTAACAACTAAATGTAGTAGGGTAAGGCGGTTGTCTTGTAAGAATATTTGAGGTGCGCACAAGCTGGTACTGATACTCACGAATATTAAAGAAATATGAGTTGAAGTACTTACAGAGTCCACTGATGCAACCAGAGAAACCATGATCGTGATAATGCAAGTTCTGATGTGAAAGATTGGTACTCCCCACTGCAAAGGGTAAGGAATTCGAACCCATGAAGCAGTCCTCCATGCACTAGAAACATCGGTTCGGCAATGTTTCATGGTATATGCATGCCTTCTACATGCATCTACTACGATATTTGAACTTGGTACATCTGGGCTGCAGCCTGCGAAATTATATGCTCCACCAGCAGTCAAAAAGAAAGCGTATGCCCATATAATCATGACACTAAGAGGAACCTACAATCACAAAAGAAGAATTTAAGATCAATGGAATGGAAAAACATGACTTCCATCCACCCCTTAAAAAAATCGTGAAGAATCAATCTGACCTTAAAACAAAAACTCATGGTAAAATTTGAACAAGAATCGTTTCAATGTGGCGATCATGAATTTGTCAACCAAATTGATTGAGGGAATAAGAAAGTGAAACTACTCGCTCTTGATTCAAGTGAATCGTATAGAGGTCTTTTTACCTCCTTCGAGCTTTCCTTGAGAACGTTTCATAAACTTCTCTAAATAATGGATTATTCTTATGGGAAAAAAAATCAAGGTGGACTAAACCCAACAACATCTATACCAGTAAATTTCAGGGCAGGAGGAGGAACTTGTAACAGCCAAGTCACCATTCCTCAAAAGGGAAATATATACATACCGCATAAATTCTAAATACGCGATGACCAAATATGGATACTCCTCGTAGGTACTGAAAATGCACACACAGGCAATTAGTTTTTTGAACAATTTCAGACATTTTAACATGTTTGTCACAAGAAATACGTAAACTGTTTCAAAGAGCAGAAACCTTAAACAGTTACTTCATATAATTTTGTAACAAAGTGCTCAGATATGAACTTCTATTAGCAACAGAGTACCAAAATGCTTGATAATCAATTGCATAATTTTTAACAAGTTTCTTACCAGGGTGAATATAAGAAGCAAGACTATCAGTGGGATGCTGATCTCCACACAACTACCAGCTTGTGGAAAGCCATAGCTGAAAAATGCTAAACCTACGGCAGCGACCGTCGGTGCAACCACAACTGGATTTATCAACCTACAGATAGTTAGAATGACCATCGAATTAAATGCTTTTCTCATTTATGGAAGATCATTGAATAGCATCTGCAGATACCAGGAGCTTAGAACCCTGGCTTCTTAGAAAAAACAATCTTCGAACTTCATAATACAAGGAAAGTGATGCCCTAACAATTATATCGAAACGATTTGTATTACCTAAGGAAAAGGGACATTAAACCACTGAAACCCAAAATGCTTTGAAATATTGAACTAACAATTATTGCTCCCTGCAATTCTCTCATTATATGCCTGAATTTCTGCAGGAAACGAGAACCAAATATTTAACTATAAATATTAGATAGACTTTTCAATAGGATTATTAGGCACATATTGTAAGGGAGAAAAAGTAGAAAACTATGATTCACGATGAAGCTTATATATATCAGGTATAAGAAATATTTAAAGTTGATTTTTTTTTTAAGAGACCAACTTTTTAAAGAAAAATGAAAGAGAGAGAAACAAAGGTGGCCTCAAGAAAACCTATGGCCAAATCAACTTAGGACTAAACAAAATTTTTAAAGAACCCTAACTGTAAGTAGGGGAAGAAACAGGAAAATTCTAAAAGGAATAGGTACATAGGCCCCAAAGAGAAGCATTATCGAGGACCAAATTCCACACCTCTATCCAATAAGCCTCCACTCCCATAACACCTTTCAATCCAAGGTTCTATTTTTTAATGGAAGCAGTTATCAAGTTTTTATAACAAAAGTCAGAATATACAATATGTAACATGTTTCTGACAGAGCTTTCACCAGCCAGGACCAACTCAGTTCTCAGCACTTACATGTTCGGTAAGATTGCGATACTCCTGAGCATTCATGACAACTAGTACTGGAGCCAAGTACACAAATGAGCTTCCTTGAACTAGTGGTAATCGGGTGCCAAAGTAGGAGTGAAGAATTGTTGTAATGCCCGAAACCAGTAGCAAAGTTGAAATAACTGTTGCTGTATCTTTCTGTCATAATTGAAACAACAAATGATTGAGCAAGCACATTCTGAGTTCATTAGAAGTTGGAAAAGACTTTACTGCACACCAGTGAGCAACCAAGCTTGCTCAATGTGGCTAAAATTACAGTCATATGAGCTGAGTTTATAATTCTTTAGACGTGTATCTTGAAAAGAAGCCTTGGTTGCACACCTGTCTTTTTCCTAAGATTTTCAGTTGAAATCAAAAGAAGACATAAAAAATATGCTTACATCTGTTCCACCCATAGCTGGTACAATGATCAGGGGTATGAAGACAACTGACCCGACCAAAGACAAATAATGCTGAAGACCATAATATATTAATGGAACTGCAAAAAGAGTAAAAAAAAAACGTAAGAAAAAGCTACAAATATATGATGACACAAACTATAACTGGGAATAAACGTTCAGTTCCATTTTGAATGAGTTTTAAGCATACTAATTACTTCACATTTAGAAGTCTCTGGGAAGCACATATCCTAGTGATTCTTGTAACTTGAGAAATGACAACAAACGATTTTTTTTTTTCCTCACTTCTAATTTTCAAAATGCAAAATGAGGCCTAGTGGATTGATAGTTCTCTTTGCACTGCACAAACAGCAATACAATCAAAATGATATTAGATCTACTTGTATTTTGCTCCAATTAATTATAGTTGTCTCATACCATGCCAACGAATTTATTATGATGAACTAATTACGGTGAAAATCAACATACTAATTTCAGAAAGAAAACAACAAACGAAAATTTAGAAAGAGATTCAAGAATCCTAACCGAAACCCGGATTTTCTGTCGGCCCAAGTTTCATTCCAGAAGGTCTTTGCCACCCACTTTCAGCAGCTTCTACTTCACCTGCATTCACATCGATATCCTCATCTCTTCCATCTTTATCATCTTCCTTTTTAGGCTCACCTGCAGGAGTAACCACAGGGAACTCATGGCCGTTCCCATTAACAGTTCCATCACTGTTCCTACTCACAGCTCCAGCCACTCTCTCACTTCCTTTACCATTCGTCACTACTCTTCTTTCATCCTCTTTAGCTTCTCCCATCATAGGTTCAATTCCAACCCGTCTCCTCTCTTCCCCTCTCACTCCTCCATCCCTAAACCTTAAAACCCCTTCATTCTCGGTCCTCATTTCCCCTTTTGCAGGCCCTGTAACTGGCTCCACTTCAATCTCTCTGTTCGGCCTAGTGCGGCCAAGAATCGGGTCGATCTCAATTTTGGGGGATGACCCACCGCCTCTTCGTTCGAGACCCTTCTCCAAATCAAATCTAGCACTCTCATTCTTCTCCCCAACACCACTGGTTGTCTCCCCAGAGAACGTAGAGACAAAACCAGTCCTCTTGGCCCAAGATCTCAGCTCCCTCGGATTGTGGTCGGTTCTGGGCACGAAAGGGTCGACCGTGGGGGCATTGGGGAGCATCGAATCAAATTTCGCGCTACGCCTTCCAGTCTCCTCCTTCCCCAGAGACTTTGCCCTCGACCCAGTTTCCATCTAAGTTATTGGTAAAATGGGTGCCCCTTTTTTCTTCAAGAATCTAATCACAAAACTCCCAGAGAAGATCCCAATCACCCCTAACCCCTCATTAGCACAAACTGCAAAATGATGAACAGTTTCGAAAGAGGAGTAAAATCAAAGCAAAATAGGACTAATGTGGGGATGGAAAAAAGGTTTCAGAAGGTGCTTGACATTATTGTGATGTGAATTCTAGCAACGCCAACTGTTTGAAGAGCAGGGAGAGTGAGTGTACAGAGAAAGGGGAGTGAGCTCCAAACCTTAGCTTGGAGGCATCTTTAGACTTTACCGCCCGAAAGTTGCTATCAGTGGATTAGATTAAATTGGTCTTTTCGACAACGATAAATTAAATTACTTGAACTTGAACCTCATTTTTGGGTGTGAAAACTGAAAAGTGGGAAGAATAAGAACCTGTTTTCCATTTTCTCTCCGTTTTTCTTCTTCTTCTTCTTCTTCCGCTTGGAGCTTCATCATACGATAACTTTTTTTCAAAACTGAGATTAAAGTTGAATAATGAATGATTGTGATGCTACTTTTGATGGGTGGAGTGGAGGAGTCTTGTAATTCAAGTTTCTCCATTTCTCCTTCCCATCTTCGAACTCGCTTGGTGTTGGTGGGACTTGGTTTTACTTTTGCCTTTTTGAGTATTATTTGCTTTGATGAAAATCGAAATCTTAAATTTATTTTTTTAAAATAAGAAAGAAAACAATTGGAAGAAATTCTCTTTTTTAGTCGAGAAATTCCTTTTCTTTC